CAAAAAAACCACCTATAGATTATGTACAAAAGGAGATAAGAAAAAAACAAATATTTTACTACCAAAAAAAAAGTCAAACAAACACAAAAGACAGTAACGAAGAAAATAAGGGACAAAAAGCTAGAAGGCATATAGAAAACAGATAGCAAAATGACAAAAATCTCTCCTTACCAGCAATCACTTTTAACGTAAATGGATTAGCTCTATAACCAAAAGATAGAGAGTGGCATACTGGATTAAAAAAAACATGACCTGACTATCCAAAGACACAAAAAGATTGAAAGTCAAAGGATGGAAGAAGACATTCCATGCAAATAATAATTCAAAGAGAGCAGGGTGGCTATTCTAATATCAGAAAATATAGACTATAAATAAAAAAAAGTTACAACGCACAAGGTAGTACTTTACATTAATAAAGTAATTCGATACAGCAAGAAGATATAACAAACATTTACTTACCCAATAACAGACCATCAAAATATAATTAAGTAAAAAGTGACAGAATTAAAGGTAGATATAAAAAGTTCTACAATAATAATAGCTGGAGCCAATAGTTCACTCTCAAAAGATAGCAACCATTATAACGCGACAGAAGGAAATATAGGACTTAACACAGTAAACCTACTAGATCTAAGAGACATACACTCTATCCAATATATTGTTCTCAAGTGCATGTGAGACATTTTCCAGGATAGACCATATGTGAGGCCACAAATTAAGTGTCAACAGATATGGGAAACTTCACAAATTTGTGAAAATTAAACACCCCCTTAATCAACAAAGAAGAAATCAAAAGGGAAATTAGAAAATCTTTAGAGGTAAGTAAAAAATGAAAAATATACCAAAACTTATGAGACTCAGCAAAAAAGGTGCTAAGGGGGAAATTTATAGTTATAGTTGCTTACATTAAAAAACAGGAAAAATCTCAAATGAACAATCTAATTTTACAACTTAAAGAATTAGAAAAAGAAAAAACTAGCCCAGCCAGTGTGGCTCAGCAGTTGAGCATTAACCTATGATCCAGGAGATCAAGGTTCAATTCCCGGTCAGGGCACATGCCTGGGTTTCTGGCTTAATCCCCAGTAGGGGGCATGCAGGAGGCAGCTGATCAATGATTCTCTCATCATTGATGTTTCTACTCTCTCTCTCCCCCTGTCCCTCGCCCTTCCTCTCTTCAAAATCAATAAAAAGACATGAAACCCCCCCCACAAAAACCAAAACCAAAAACTAAACCCAGTGTTAGCAGAATGAAGGACATAATGAAGATCAGAGCAGAGATAAATGAAATAGAGAATAAGAAAAGAAAAAAAATCAATGAAATCCAAAGTTGCTTCTTTTAAATACCGTTAGCTAGATGGACTAAGAAAAAAAAAAGATTCAAATTATTAAAATCAGAAACAAAGGTGAGGATATCATTATCGATTCTACAGAATTAAAATAGATTATAGGTACTCTGAACAATTGTATGCCAAGAACTGGGATGAGTTTGATGAAATGTACCAATTTCTAGATACAAAAAACTCAGCAAGAAACAGAAAACCTGGATAGAGCTATAATTAGTTAGGTAACTGAATCAATAACAAAAAAATTTCACAACAAAGCAAAGCAAAGCCCTGGACCTAATGGCTTCACTGGTGAATTCTACCAAACATTTAAAGAACAACAAACTTTCTCAAACTTTTCCAAAAAACTGAAGTGCAGGAAAATACCTGGAACACTTCATAACTCTTTGCATGAGGCCAGCATTACCCTGATAATAAAGCCAGACAAAGACACTCTAAGAAAGACAACCACAGACCAATATCCCTTTTATGAACACTGACGCGAAATCCTCAACAAAATACTAGGAAACCAAATTCAGCAGTATATTAAAAGAATTATACAACACAACCAAGTGAGATTTATTCCTGGAATGCAGGATGGTCCACCATAGAAAAACTGATCAATGTTAACATACCACATCAACAAGAATGAAGGAAAGAAAAACACACAATCACCTCAATTGATGCAGAAAAAGCATTTGACAAAACCCAACACACTTTTATCATAAAGGCAACTCAACAAACTAGGAATAGAAGTAAACTACCTTAACATAATAAATACCATATATGGAAAAGCCAGTGAACATCATACTCAAAAGTTTTCAAGACTGCCCAGCCAGGCATGGCTCAGCGGTTGAGCATCGACCTAGGATCCAGGAGATCATGGTTCGACTCTCAGTCAGGGCTCTTGTCCGGGTTGCGGGCTCGATCCCCAGTTGGGGTGTGCAGGAGGCAGCTGATCAATGACAACTCTCATCACTGATGTTTCTATTTCTTCCTCTCCCTCTTCCTTCCTCTCTCTAAAATCAATAAAGGTATATTAAAAATAAAAATTAAAAAAAAGTTTTCAAGACTCAAAGCTTTTCCTTGGAATCAGTAACAAGGCAAGGATGCCTGTCTTTGCCACTTCTATTCAACACAGTACTAGGCAAGAAGAAACAAAAGGCATCCAAATCAGAAAGAGAGAAGTAAATTTCCTTTCTTCAGAGATGACGTAGAAAATCCTAATGACTACACAAAGAAACCTCTTAGAACTAATAAAATAAGATGCATTTCTACCTAACAATGAACAATCTGAGAAAGGAATTATGAAAACAATTCTATGTACTATAAAATAAAAGATAAAATAAAGACATGAAAACATATCCCATGTTCATGGATTGGAAGACTTAATACTGTTAAGATGTCAACACTATCCAAAGCAACTGACAGATTAAATGCAATGCCTATCAAAATACCAAAGATGTTTTTGCAAAAATAGGAAAATTGATCCTAAAACTCATATGGAATCTGAGTGAACTCCTAACAGGCAAGCAATATTGAAAAAGAACAATGCTGGTGGACTCACACTTTCTGATATCAAAGCTTACTAGAAAACTACAGTAATCAAATAGTGTGGCATTAGCATAAAGACAGACATAAAGGCCAAAGAAATAGAATAGGGAGCCCAGAAATAAACCCTCACACACGGTCAAGGGATTTTAACAAATGCCAAAACTATTCCACGGGGAAAAGATAAAACTGGATATCCACATGAAAAAGTGAAGCTGGACCCTATGTAACACCATATACAAAGGTTAACTCAAAATAGATGAACGATCTAAATGTAAAACCTAAAACTATGAAACTCTTAAAAGAAAAGAGAGGAAAAGCTTCATGACACTGGATTTAACAATTATATCTCTACACAAAAGACAAAGGGAACAAAAGAAAAAATAGAAAAATTGGCCATCATGCAAATTTTAAAATTTTGTGCAAAAGAAGACAATTATTGACAGAGTAAAACAGCAACTCACAGACTGGAAGAAAATATTTTCAAATCATGCATTTGATAAGGGGTTAATATTCAGAATATATAGATAACTCAACAAAAAAAGACCTAATTCAGAGGACTTGAACAGACATTTCTCCATAGAAGACAGATAAATGGCCAATAAATAGATTTGGGGTTTCAGTAGATGCCTGAAACCCTGAATAGTACTGAACTCTATACATACTATGTTTTTCACTAACCATTAGGGAAATGCAAATCAAAACTACAATGATTCACCACCTCATACTCGTTAGAACAGCTATGATAAAAAAAAAAAACCAACCTAGAAAATAACAAGTGTTGACGAGGACGCACGGAAAGTGGAGCCCTTGCTCACTGTTGGTTGGAATGTAAAAGTAGCATAGCTGCTGTGGAACACAATATGGCAATTTCTCAGAAAATAATAGAATTACCATATGATCCAGCAATTCCCCTCGTGGCTATATAACCAAAAAAACTGAAAGGGTCTGAAAGAGCTATTTATATTTGTACACCAATGTCTACAGTAGCACTAATCACAACAGCTAAAAGATGGGAGCAATTCAATGTCATGCAAAGATGAATGGATAAGCAAAATGTAGTATTATTCAATGGAATGAGATGAACCTTAAGGAAATTAGCTAAATAAAATAAGCCAGTCACAAAAAGACAAATACTATATGATTCAATTTATTTGAGATACTTACACAATATCAGAGACAGAAAGCAGGAGGGTGGTTGTCAAGGGTGGGGGAAGGGAGGAATGAGGAGTTATTCTGTAATGAGTATAGCAGTCCTCCCTTATCCATGGGTAATACGTTCCAAGACCCCCAGCAGATGCCTGAAACCCTGAATAGTACTGAATTCCATACATACTATGTTTTTTCCTATACATTTATATTTATGATAGTTTAATTTATAAATTAGGCACAGTAATAGATTAACAGCACTAACTAATAATAAAACAGGACAATTTTAACAATATACTATACTAAGTTATGTGAATGTGATGGGTCTCTCTCTCGCTCTCTCTCTGGTAACAGAGAGGGCTACTAAGTGACTAAGGGGAGAGTAGCGTATACAGTGTGGATCTGCTGGATGATTTATGTCCTGTGCGGGAGGAAGGGGGAGATTTCATCACATTACTTAGAATGGCATGTGATTTAAAATTTATGAATTGTTTATTTCTGGAATTTTCAAATTTAATATTTTAAGAGCAATGCTGACCATGGGTAACTGAAGCCATGGAGTGTGAAACTGCGGGTAAAGGTGGACTACTGTTTAGTTTCAGTTTTACAAGATGAAAGAGTTATGGATATAGTAGGTGCTGATGGTTGTACAAATGTATTTAGTAACAGTGAACATAACACTTAAAAATGGTTATCTAGTAAATTTTGTTAGTGTATTTTACCACAATTTAAAAAATATGGGGGGAAAAACCAAACCCCAAAATCCTTTAAAGAGATTTAATCAACTAGTGTCAGGGAAGAGGTGCAAGCCAAATGCCCAGGTTCGTGAGGGAAAAAAAGGGTGAATGTAGACCAGAGAACTGGTGCCTCCAAAAGTACATATTACAGATCAGGTGAACATAAATACCTGGCATTTAAAATTTTTTTAATGTAAGCAACTAACTAGTAAACTCATAAAAGGGCTAGTCTTAATCTTACCTGCACAAGATACCGTGGGTCCACATTTAAGTAAGGAGACAGAGGATTCATACCAGTCACTAGAGAGAAAACAAAGCATCATATTGCAACAAAAATTTTAAAGTTATTTTATTTAGCGTTAATTCTGGTAGTTTCATGTCTTACAATTTTGATTTACAGAAATGTGAAAATTTCTCCCACATTTCTATGCTTATTCTTCTTATTTGGCAGTTTTGGGGTTGCCTCCTCCTGCTGCCTTCAATCCCAAACCAGGTCTTGCAGGGGGGCTCAGGCTCCCACACAAAGATATTGAGAGTAACATGTACTGAATAATCAAAGTACATATAAAGAAGCATAGCTCAGGTCAATTATAATAAATGTAATTTCTTTCTATTTTGCTGCAAGAGTGCTTGCCAACTGTACAAATTGCAAAATAAGTCTGACAAGAAACCAATCAATTCCATGGAAAAAACAGCATTTGGGCTATGTGTTACGTATAAATATTTTATGGCAGTTCCATGTTAACAGTTGCTGACAGAGTTGATTTACTGTGGCGGGGTAGAGAATTTTTGGGCCATCACCACAGGGTTGGAGGTCCAGGCAAAAGAAAATGGAAACTCAAGAAGGACAGACTTGAATCCCACTAACTGAAGTTAGGAAAACTTCACCCTTGAGCTGCTGTCCCTGACCCACTGTAAAATGGCCTCCTGCTCCCAGCACCACTGCCGTTCACACACTTTCCACTAACTGAAGTGTCTTTGTTACTTGGCTCACTTCAATAGAATGTAAACTCTATGAAAACAGCAGGCTTTTCTTCTTGTTTTTTTATTTTAACTGCTGAGTCCTGCACCCATAAAAGTCACTGGCTCACTGTAGGTGCTCAGTCTCTCACTTTACCTACAATCTTGATAAAATTAATGTAACAATGCTTTGCCACATTAAGGCAGTGCCCTCTGTGCTCTAAAACTTACTATAAACTGTGTTCTAGGTTCAATTTTGACACAGGTGACACTAGGAAGTTGAAAGGACTTTTTTGTTCTTGAGCATAAAGGACCTAGCAAAATAATACAAGAATTTTCAAAAAAGTTTTATAAAGCCCTTATCCTCCACCAACTTCCTGCTCTCTCTCAGTCCAAGTTCGGTTCATCCAGTCGAATGCCCACCCGCAGCGTCCGAAAGGTCTGGAATACACATTCCCAGAACTGAGGCAAGGGCAAAGGCAGGACATTCATGCCTCTGCATCCTCGATCCTGTACAGTGCCTTTCCTGACATTCTTTCTTCAGTCTGTAAGTGACCTTTAACGTGCAGCTCACTCCCCAGCTCCGCCAGTTGTCTCGACTCATGTTTCTTTGCGGCCGACACGTATTACTGAGTGTTCCGACCTCACGGCTACTTCGTGGTTGGGGACGACGCGGCTTTAAGCTAAAACGTTTTCTACGGAATCCTACTTGGAATACATTTACGTGTAAAGCTGGGCTCTCCCCTTAACGTAGGGCCAAACACACAGCCCACCACACAAGGAAATAAATGTGTGGGAGGAAAGAGAAGGCACAAAGCTCGGATATAAAGGGAAGGAAGCATGCAACATCTGAGCCCAGATCAACCACAGAGAGCGTGTCCGGGGTCCATGGCTCCAAAAACTCCTTCATGCTTGACGAAGCGACAGCGAGACACACCAAACGCACCCCTGACAGTGCAGACTGTGAACACCAACAGAAAACAGACCGCAGGGCGCGCCGCACGCCCCGCGTAGTCGCAAGAATCAGTCAGAAAAGATCGGAAGCTGCGGCCGATACTTACGCGGGACGCCGGCCAAATCCGCGTGCGAGTAACCAGCTCCGCCGGCGCCAAAAAAGCCGGCCAACCCCCCGGTGGTTTTGTTGCCGCTCCCTCCGCCGCCGTCCATGGCTCGCAGCAAACTGCCCGTCGGCCCCTCGCCACTGCCTCAGGCCGCGGTCGTCCGCTTGGCCGTCGCGCCTCAGTAACCGCGGGGAATGCCGCGTTACTACCGACTCCTTCACACGCTGACCTTCCGGGCGCCGGTGTCCGCTAAGCATCACACTTCCGCTTTGCGACGTAGTACGACCCGGAAGCCGGGCGCGCCTAACGGCAGCTTTCCGGTGGTGGGAAAGTGAACGGAGCCAGAATCAGGGCGGCGCGTCCTGAGGCAGGCGGGTTACCTGTGGAAGAGGGAAGGCAGGCGACTGGGTAGGGCCTGGCTCGAGCAGCCGGCGGAGCAGCGCTGCAGAAGCAGGCAGCAGCAGAGAGGGAATGGTGCCCGGAGGCGCCGAGGAGGAGGCGCAGTCCGTCCCCCAGGGTTAGTGAATGAGGCTCTCCGCCCGGGCCGGCCCGGGGGCTGTGCGGTGCGGGTCCCAGCATGAGTGCGGGCCCCGGCTGTGAGCCCTGCACCAAGCGGCCCCGCTGGGGCGCCTCTGCAACTCCTCCGCCGGCCGCCTCGGACGCCCGGAGCTTCCCCCGCGGGCAGAGGCGCGCCCGCGATCCCAAGGACGCTCCGGTGCAGTTCAGGGTCCCACCTTCCGCGTCAGGCTGCGGCCCGGGGTGGGCGGGACCGCTCCGAGGCAGCACCACCTCGCTTGGTACGTGGGGAAATAAACATCCTTGCCCTTTGTCTCGGCCCAAACCTTGGTCTCTGTGTGAGGACACAGGGGCTCCAGTCACTCCTGGTCTAGTGTGCACCACTCTTGAGGTCCCTTTGCTGAGCCACGAAAGCCACTTGTGGGGAAACGGAGCCACATTTTTACCGTTGTGGTGAGAAACCCTGATGAGCAGTCACAGGGCGGAAAATGGGAGGCTCCCCCTGTTTTCTTTACTCAGGTTTGACTGAGGAATTGTCTTAGTCATTAGGGAAATCTAATTGTGTATGTGAAACTTCAGCCTCTTGATTGAAAGAAACTACAAGGCAACTTCCGTCTATTAAGGTTCTGGTTCCCTAGGTGCAGAGCTGTTAGCCTTAGCTGGCGCTGTACTTGACTCTGGTGTATAGGGTTGAACGAGCGAGACTCATTTGGCCTCTGTCTTTAGATCCTAAAATTTACGAGGAGAGTTAGTTACATAAGTCAGCATAATAAAAGGTAATGGATGTTTTGATATCTGGTAGGAGTACCTAATCCAGTCTGGAATCAAAGATAATCTCCTAGAAGATGAGATGCTTAATCTGAGGACTGAAGAATGATGAGTGCGCTAGGTGAAAAGGATGCTTGCTGTCAGGGGAGAGCAGTGAGAGATGGGACTGAGAGCTAGGCAAAGACCAGATCCTATTGGGACTTGTAGGGTTATGCACTTCATATATAAGGGCAAAGAGAGGCTGATAAAGAGTTTTCAGTAAGGGAGTGGCTTGATCAAAGGGATATATATAATCTTTTGGGGGGTGGGGATAAAGATCTCTGTGCCTGGTGTGTGGAAAATGAAGAATGGATTGAAAGGGAGCAGAAGTGCAGGCCCAAGACTGGTTAAGGAGTTAGTCTAGGTGGAAAATAAGATCATTTTTACTTAGCTGTGGGCAATAGGGAAGGGGTGAAGTGGTTTCATGTAGGAGAGAATGGGGTATGTGGGTCTGTACTCATAAGAAGTATATCTGTGCTGTAAATGAAGGTTTGGGAGTTTTTGGCATAAACATGGTAATTGACGCTATGGAAGTTAGATCATATGAAGCATGTAGAGGAAATAAAGGTGACCTAGGACGGAAACTTTAGGAACACTACCATTTAAGAGTAGACTGACGAGAAGCAGCCAGAGAAGTAGGAGGAAAGCCTGGCTTTTGTTATGTCATGGGGGAAAGATAGCATTTCAAAAAGGAGGTCACGCAGTCCTCTGGTGAGTGGTGTACACTTTTCTCAGGATTTAGAGGCAGTGGGGAGCAGACCTAAACTAAGTTGAAATATGAGCAGGATTTGCTGCATAAATCAGAGAGAGAGCAAATTATATAGGCAGAGAGAACAGCATGTGCAGGAGGTGGTAGGACTGGAGTGCAGAATGACAGTATCAAATGACACTGGAAAAGTGGGCAAGAGCTTATCATGGACAAACTCGAGTGCCATTTCACAGTTTTTGGTTTTTATTCTGTGGCTAATGGGGAGCCACTAAAAAGCTTTTAAGAAGAGATATCATTTGGTTAATATTCTAGAGAAGATTGCTTAGACAGTGGCCTTTGGACTTTTTAAACTGTAATCCACAGTTTAAATTTCACCTAGTACACAGAGCAAGGAATATATGTCATATTTATAACAAATAAATTTTTTGTGAAATAATACTCTTACTATGTTTGATACATTTTTATGTTGTCTGAATTATTTCATTAAAAAATGTTGGTCATTTGTAGTTTATAAAACACAGAGAAAGGGAAGACTATAGGCAAAGAGACCAGTTGCAAGAAACAAGTGTAGTTGTCCAATAAGTGATGTACCTGTTCTTCTAATGTTGGTGCTGTTTTGAAGATGGAGGGGAAAGGATGGGTTTAAGACTTCAGATATAGATTTTAGAGGACTTGGTGAAGGAGAGTGGAGGGGAGGGGGAACTGAGGGTGACCTCCAGGTATTGTATCTGGCCTACATGACAAGTAATTTGTGGTCCGATTAACTTTATTTGCAGATAAAAGAGGAAAAGTTAGTTGCAGGTGGTAGGGGGCAGTCAGTCCTCACCGGTTGGATTTTCTGCAGAAATACTTTCTGCAGAAGATGAACCAAATTAATACTTAGGCTGTACTTTATGTGTATAGATGTTTTCAGTATACCGTCACAGGATGCCAATTAACAAAACATTCAAAGTCTAAATCTACCAAGAACTGTTATTGTTTTCAAATTTTTGAATTTTTTTTAGGAACTTGGTATTTAAAATTTTTATGTATAGTTACCCTAGGAGAAGTAGGAGGGATAAGGAGGTGAATATTTTTTTCAGTATCTTTAAATTTTGTGTTATTTATCTTCCTGGGCATATTTCTTACATTGATTGAAATGTTCATATTCTGCATATAGGCAGAATCTAGCTTGCCATTCATATTCTGATCTGATAGCTATGGAATGATTTTTCCAGTTGTGTTGCTGTGGGTGCTACCTTTTTCTGCCCGTTACAGCTACCTAGAGTTTCTCTCCCCACTCCAGAAGTGGCCCAAGTGTAGGTTAGTGGTTGGTGAAAGGGGGCCTGGAGCTGGCTTGTCCACTATTCCCCATCCTTTCAGCCTTAGGGCTGTCAAAAGCATCTTCAGATCTCTTTCCTCATCTCAAAAACTCCACTACCCATTGCCCTTTGGTCTCACCACATCCTTCCTTCCCATACCTCATCTTGCTGCTGCTGGAGGAAAGAGACTTTTTGTGGAGATGCAGTGTTCCTTTGATATGCAAGCGAATTTTACAGATTTTGTACCTTTTGCCTGATACCTGTAGCACCTGAGTGATTTGCTCAGTGAAATGTGCTGATTACTGAGTGGTGTTACTGATCAGGTTATGTGTAAATGGTGTGAAGTCAGAATAAAGTTGGATGACTACTGATCTCAGTGAGAAAAGTGATTGGGTGGAAGTACTGGAAGAGAATACATTTGTTGAGTTTCTGCTCTGTGAGACTGGACACTTAATATTTTCTCTCATTGATCTACATAAACCTTGGAAGTAGGTATTGTTAACCACATTTTATAGATCAGAAATTAGAAGCTCAAAGAAATGATGTACTACTAAGTGACTGAGCAAAGATCACAATATAAAATCTGTTTGACTCCAGACCTTGTATTTCATCACCTGTTGCCTCCCTTTTTGTTTGCTGAGATTATTTCTAGTTAAAAGGAAGAAATTCCCAGGAAACCTGGGACGCATCATTTCATGCTTGCTTTGGAAGCCAAAAGGGGTGGTATTAGAAAGAGAAGTAGGCAAACCTTTCTATGGGGCCCCCGGAAGGACTGAGGAATGTTTTACTGGCAGGAAATATCCATCCCTCACCTGTTGCTTCTCCTCCTTCATCCTGTTCTCGGGTTTCAGGAATGGAACCATAATAGGGAGCCTGAAGCTAGAGAGGGAACCTAGGCTCAGTTGCCAGAGCTTTAGGAGAGAGCCCTGCCCTTCAACTGCGCTGGAACACTTCATAGTTTCTATGGAGTGATGTAGGCAGTCTTTAGGGTTTATAACTTGTTGCAGAGCTGTTTCACGTGTATTTAGGAACCTAGCCATTGCACGCCATTAGTGCTTACATTTATGGAAAAAAGGTGTTTTAAATATTACACTGACAAAAAGTGAAGTTTTGTCGGTTCATTGCTGGCTTATAATTTGAGGATTTTCTATACTTGCTGTATTTAATACAATGAAATTAAGTAAGCGAAAATGGAACTACAGAAAAAGTCTCAGAATCAATTGATTCATCTCTTACTCCTTTCTGACTGAAACTGATTTTTTTTGAAGCCTGATCTGCTGTAGAAGTACTAACTTAATTAAATCACTAAAGAAAAGATATTTAACAAGAAATACCAACTATATATGTAATTGCTTTTTTGAAAGAAACTTTTAAAAATGCTGAACAGATTTTTACTAGTTAGAATGTTAGTATTTTGTGGAAGGTACAAATAATGTGACACTCAATTACAGTGATAAACTGTTGATTTTCATATATTTGGGACAGCATCTGTTTTGCTCATGTTGTGTTTATGGAGACATAAGTAGATGAGAATGAATCTATGATTTAAGATGCCTAGATTCTTACATTGCAATTTAGATACTAGTTGAGACTGTTCAAGATTTTGTGTCTTTATACTAAAATATTATATACATTTAATCTACATGAAGCACATTAAATTTTGAAAGCATGCTTATTTCTGATGCTTATATAAGTTGTGGCATACATTTATTTATGTTGCATCTCTCTACTGAGTCACTGATTCTACTTTTGCTACTACTGTCTGCTGGTCATTTCTATCTAGTTATCTTACTGGCAACTCAAATTTAGTATGTTCAAAGTTGACTTAATCATAGTTCTCCCCAAGTCCAGATTCCCTCCCATATTTCTATTTAATGCTTTCGCCATCTTTTAAGTCTCTCAAGCTTAATACTTAGTGTTACCTTTAACTCCT